CCTCCTCACACACCCCCCCACACACCCACACCCACACCCACGCCCACTCCCTGTCGTTCAACCCGTTTCAAGTGACAGTAAAACTTTGTAATCGTTGAACATTCTTGTTTTTTGTTTCGTATCTTCAATACCTGATTTGCATGAGAATATTTTTCACTTAATTTTATCATTCTATTTTTCTCTATACTTTATTTGGCAAGGCATTCTTATTCTGATTTTGCATGGTATAATTTACATTTTGTTGATAGTGGCATATCTCGAGTTTTTTGATCAATGGGTAAAGCTCTCTTGTGTTGAAAAAATACGATGGGTGAAATGGGAAAAGTTTTTATTGATAGGCAGAACTGTTTTGCGACCATCAAAGTACTGATAGCGTAGAACAGCAAAATTCCTTTACTGAAATGTGAATCAAACTCAAATATTAAATCTGAATCAAGCGTGTTTTAGTCTATTTTTAATGTGTCTGCTTATAACGATGACTCTCAAAAGAGATATGTCGTGATAAAAATATATTTGAAGTCTTATCATATTTGCATCAAGGCTACATGTTACAAACGTCGATCATATATTTCATAGTTAATCCCACCATTTCTTTTTGAATAACCCAGGAAAGTGTTTGTTTTCTCTTGGAGGGTTCCAGTATTCAAATGTGGTCGTTGTCTATATTAAAAAAAGTACAAATCTGAATATGTCAAAGATCAAGAGAAAATGATGATCACTCTTTGATATAGTGGTTCTGTAATTCCTAAATGTTGTTCAAGAGCTCGAATTCCGTTGCATCTAAGATCTAATGAAATGGGTGTCTATGTGGAAAAGTGTAGAGCATGATATGACAGAGAAGAAGAAAAAATTGAAAGTTACCATCTTATTTTGCCTCGCATCAAGGAGATCTTGTCTTCCGCCAGATTCGATTCTGTTACCATAGAGACCTAGTTCAATGAGTGTCTGTGTCAAAAGAAAGTGACGATGAAGGTATAGAAGAGATGAAAACAGAAAATAAGGGTTACCGTGTTTTGTTTTAATGCAATAGCGAGATAAAAAGCTCCGAAATCTCCAATTTCATTAATTATGAGTTCTAGTTTTGTGAGTGTCTAAATAAAATAGAGAAGATGGAGGTTAAAAAAAATGGAGAGAGAATGGGAGCCACTGCGTTTTTTTGTAAAGCCGTAGCAAGATATTGTGCTCCAGCATCTTCAATCTTATTGTTTCCAAGATTAAGTATGGTGAGTGTCTGTATGATCAAGTTCAAATCGCACTATGAGAGTTATGAAAAACGAATGAGGATCACCTTGTTATTTTCTAACGCAGTAGCCAAGTATTGTGTTCCAATCGACCCGATTTCATTGTTTCCGAGATGCAATTCGGTGATTGTCTGTGTAGAACAGTAAAGATAAAAGCATGAAACAGATGAAGAGAAAATGAGGATTACCATGTTATTTTCTAATAAATCACTCAGATATTGTGCTCCAACAGAACCGATTCTATTGCTTCCAAGATCAAGATTGGTGAGTGTCTATATGAAAAAAGGCACATCGAATATGAATCATATAGAATGACAGTTACTGTATTATGTCGCAAAGCATCAGTCAAATATTTGGCTCCTTCTTCTAAGATTTTGTTGTCGTTCAGATTTAGTTTGACGAGTGTCTATTTGAAAATGTGCAGATTGGAGTACGAGAGAGCTGGAGGAGAATAAAGATTACTGTATTTTTTTGCAATGCATCTGCCAGATATCGGGCTCCTTCAACTTTGATTTTGTTACTCCAGAGAGTTAGTGTCGTGAGTGTCTGTATGATTATGTTGAGACAAGAATATTAGAGAGATGAACTAAATGATAGATACCGTATTATTTGCTAGGACAGCAGCTAGATATTGTGTTCCGACACATCCGATTTTGTTGACTCCGAGATCTAGTTTAGTAAGTGTCTATATGATTAAATGAAGATGGAACTAGAAGAGTGATAAAGAGAATAAGATTTACCATATTATTTTCTAATGCAGCAGCCAGATGTTGTGCTTCGACAGGTCCGAGTTCAGACCGATTGAGATCTAATACTCTGAGTGTCTGTATGATTAAGTGTAAGTGGAGATATAAAAGAGATGATAGGATAATGAACACAACTAGTTGTCTCTTTATTGTTTTGTATCAGATACTTAGCCTCGTACGCCGATAGTAGTGAGCAAAACAAATTGGTTTCAAAGCTTTTATAAGAATTTGAATGTAAGCAACAAGACGACCCATATCCAATAATTTAAATAGTCACACATTAAGTGTATTTATTTCTTGAAGATGAAAGAAATCTGACTCTATCGAAAAGTTCAAATTTACCTGGTATCGATGATAGGAGTCCATAATTACATTCAATCTTGCACAAGCATTGTGAATAGAACAAAATAGTGTAAAGTCATCAAGCTTGTCCAATATGCAATAAACAAGATCAACTGGTAAAGCCAAAAAAGCCGATGAACTCTGGTTAATCATAAGTGTTAATTTCTTTCGCGCAGTGTTTTATCTAGAAAATGAGTAAGTACTGAAGTGTTTCCCTCTTATACCGGTTGGGGTACTGACAACGTGATATAAACCTTTACCATAGTTATGCAATTTTTTATTTTCATAGAGAACTGAAAAAAAGTCGTGATAAAGACAAACGAATCAAATTTTAAAGCCTGAATAATAGATGTCGATATATTATGTACATGTGTGCATTTAGAATTCAGTCGAAACCTGAAAAAGTTGATAGTTGACCATTTCTTACAGAGATGAGCACGGTACAGGACCAAAGTCAGAATGGTGTCTTGCTGACTTTTTGTGTTCCGATGGGTGATAGGATATAATATAGAAGCTTTGTTCTAGTTTGCTTTACTAATTCATTCTTTTTTCAAATGGCTAAGAGTCGTTAATCTGACTATCGTTGAATAGAGAGGTCTAGACTCTTCGATTTTTGAAAAACGGTGAAATGCTAGAGTAAAACTGTACTCGGGTGTTTATTTTAAAATCTCAATATAAGAAATTTGTCCTGATCGGACCTGTACAAATCTATACCTAAGATCTCCCACTATTTTTATTTGAGTATATCCCTATTATTGATCAAATAAAAATATTACTGTACTTAACGTCGCACGTCATTTATTGCTTAGTATTCTTAAATGCAAAAAATATACTATAGGTGATCACTTATTTTATAAGTACAGTAAAATCTCTATTAGTGAACACCTCTCATAGGTGAACACCTCGCATTTTGAACAGGGGTTCAGTCCCACGAAGCGAATTTTACTGAAAATATATCTCCCATGGGCGAACACCTCCCTACTCCGAATTTGAACATGCTTTCACAGTCCCGATCTGTGTTATAATCTCTCTTAGATGAACACACGTGAAATTTTTTCTCTCTCTCTCTCCACTCTATTATTGTTGACTAGTGAACTAAAATTCACTATTCATTATTTTTTCGTAACTGCACGTATCAGGCAAACAATGACATCTCGACGTCATCTTACATTAAAAGAAAAAATTTAATTAATTAATGATAGCAATAGTGATAATGGTTTATCACAACATACATTAACTGAAAAATATCATATTTCACTTGGTTCTGTATGTAACATATTAAAACGAAAAGAAGAATATTTACATGATTATGAAACCAATCAGAATCAAAATGTTAAACGAAAATTCAGAAATTTTGATTCAGGGAAACTTGATGAACAAGTTTTTGAATGGTTCGTAGATCAACGTTTAAAAAATATACCAATATCTGGAACCATCTTACAAGAGAAAGCACGAGAAATAGCTAAAGTATTAGGTGATCATTTTGGTAAATTTAAAGCATCTAATGGATGCGAAGTTTTTTGTTTTGTTGAAAAGTTGTTCGATTCAAATAAATTTAAGTGAAAGAAGACGAACTAGAGAGAAAACGGTCTCTAAATACGTCAGAACTAGTAAGGAAGCTCATTTTCTGAATCTCTACTTCATTTTGAAGTAAAATGTATGACATCTCCCATAGATGAACACCTCTCAAAATGAACGCTTTTCAAAAAGTCCCGAGGGTGTTCACTTAAGAGAGGTTTTGCTGTATAACAATATGTAAAAAAATTCTTTATTTTATATTTTCATAGTATATTCATGACAAGATAAAATACAGAAAAATAAACATGATTCATTGTAATATCATTGTCTTATATAATACGAGTTACTATCTATGAAAGATAACAACAACTAAAACTCTTATTACAAAAAAGCAAACATCTTTATGAATAGATGTACTAAAATAATTGAAACGACTAATATATCTTGCATTCTTTGAAATATGCCATGGCCGATTAATTTTCCTGTATAACGAAAGACTTTTGGCAAATTGTGGTTTTTTTTCTTACAAAATGTTATATCTATTAGTTTCATATTTAGGAATTGAATGTGTTCGACGACGATGAAATTTTGCTAATGCTTAACCTGAATATTTATTTAGAGAGTCAATAAATGAAGCATAAATATAAAATAAGATAAAAAATAAGGAAAAGAACGAATAACAATAGTTTCGTGTTGCTCTCGCTTTGTATTGTGACTGAAAATTAGTCAATCGTCAATGGTTATATCTAATTCGTAGCTGTTTTTCAATGGATATTTGAATCAGTGTTACAAATCATTCAGCATCTACGTCGAAAACGACAGTCGTTAAAAAATAAATATCAATAACCATAGAACAACAAAATTCTCACGAAAACAATTTTTCAGTCCTGTTCCGTCTTATTCGAATCGCCACTTTTGTCCCAGCGGGCGACAGGATGGGGCCAAAATGAAAATCGCGTTTTGTCCTGTGCTTATCTCTGATGCCTTATAGTTTCACTTTTCCTTCGTATAGTCTACAATTTTTTTAAAGTTTTTTCTGTCGGGTGTGGGTGGGTGTGGGTGTGCGTGTGCGTGTGGGTGTGCGTGTGGGTGTGGGTGTGCGTGTGCGTGTGGGTGTGCGTGTGGGTGTGCGTGTGTGTGTGGGTATGCGTGTGGGTGTGGGTATATTGAATCTTAAAATTCACACCCACACCCACACCCACACCCACACCCACACCCACACCCACACCCACACCCACACCCACACCCACACCCACACCCACACCCACACCCACACCCTACTGTAAATAGCACTAACACTAAGCTATGTCGAATCAAAAGCGACCTAAGACATTATTAAGTTATAATTTTTCTACAAAAAAAAATACGTCATGGTTCTGAAAATGTAATACCAAATTCAAATGCACCGATAGCAATTACAAATGCAACCAATAATGATGACTCCAATTTATTTTTATCCAATGATTCTGAACATTTAGATCAGCTAAACGTTGACCTTAATATTAGCATCGAAAGTAATGAACTGAAAGTAATTGATTCTCGGCCCGATACCAATAAAAATGATATCGGCTATTATCTGTTAAATAAATTGTCAATAATTGATGAATTGAAATATTCTCTGTTAACAAATCATTTTAAACCTAATCGAAAATATTCATTTCCAACGTTATATTCGGATGATCATACATGTTCTCGTCGATTTCTGATCAATTGGTTAAATGATAATCCATTTCTTGTTTATTCGCCATATATTGAGGGTGGTTATTGCATAAATTGTGTATTATTTCGAAACGTTCAAGGGCAAAAATTAGAATTATTTGTTGATAAACCTTGTTATCAATACAAGCACCTAAAACATTTTACTACATCATGTAAAAGTCATATTAATTCACAGTTTCATCAGAATTCAACAATTGCTACCGATAATTTTATACGTACATATAAAGATCCGTCGTTATCAATTGTATCGTTAATTGATAAAGATAGAATTGAAAAAATCAATCGTAATAAAGCAATATTAACACCAATTATAAAAATAATAATTACATGTGCACGTCAAAATATTCCCCTCCGTGGTCACAGAGATGAATCAATTAATGATATAAGACAAGTTATAAATGTGGTTGATGCTCATTGTGGTTCAAATTTTATTGCATTGCTAAAGCAACGTATCGATGCCGGCGATGAACTTCTTCGTGAACATATTCAACTTGGAAAAAAGAATGCGTTATACATTAGTTCATCAGTTCAGAATGAAATTGTTGATTGCCTACATAAATATATTTTGAAACAAATTTTACATCGCGTACAGAATTGTTTATTTTCTATTATTGTAGATGAAACAACAGATACATCAACAGCTGAACAATTAAGCCTTTCATTACGATATTATGACCAAAAAACAAATGATATACGTGAAGATTTTTTAACATTTATAGAAACTGTTTCATGTACAGGTGAAACAATATCGAATCTTATTCTTGATTATTTAACAACGCACAATTTACCATTTCATAATTGTGTTGGTCAAGCATACGATGGTGGTTCAAATATGGCTGGTATTTATCAAGGTTGTCAGGCATTGATTAAACAAAAATGTCCAGATGCAGAATATTATCATTGTTCTAATCATTGTCTTAATTTAGCATTGATTAAAAGTTGCAGCATATTACAAATTCGTAACATGATGGGAACAATCAAGGAAATCATTAATTTTTTTAAAGATTCTGCAAAACGAATGCATGCTCTTCGGTCTGAAATTACGGATTATCAAGGAGAATATGTATGTTTAACAAATAAAAAACGTTTAATTAGTTTATGCGATACTCGATGGATCGATAGAAATACGTCGATTGAAACGTTTTTAGAATTATACATTCCAATTGTTAATACATTAGATAAATTCAGACATGGAACATTAAAAGATTCAACAGCTGAACAATTATATTATGCTATTACAAATTTTCAACATATAATTTCAACTTGCATTTCATGTTTTTTATTATCAGATATTGTTCCTGTTAGTCGTATGTTACAAATAGAAACGTTGGATTTTTCATCAGCTAATCAACATGTTGATGATTTATTAGAAACTTTTGAACAAAGAAAACAGCAGACTCAAGCTTATTTTCACAATATTATTTACAGCCATGCGGATGAATTATGTAAAGAACTATTTGTTACACCATCGATTTCTCGATATTCAATATTAGCTTTGCGACAGAAAAATATGCCAATTTGTGATCCAGAACAATTTTATTGTGAACACGTTTATTTACCATTCTTAGAAGAATTAATTAAAAATATAAAAGTTCGATTATGTGTCTTAAAAAATGAACGGATTATTTTATTGATCAAATTGCGACCAGAAGTAATTATAAATGAAAAACCATTTGAGTTAACAAAACATTTATTGAAACAATTTGCTGATCGTATACCTTCACCATTACAATTAAATTCTGAATTAGAAAGATGGCAAAAAAAATGTAATGATTTGCTTAAAATGAATGATGATTGGAAAAAAAATGGTTAAATGAAATTATTAAAGAAACAGATAATGTATTATATCCAAATGTTCATTATTTATTAATTTTTTTGGCAACATTGCCTGTATCAACAGCTTCAGCTGAAAGAAGTTTTAGTCAATTATTAAGAATTAAAAGCTATTGTCGATCTACAATGAAGCAAAATAGGCTAAACTGATTGGCTGCTGCATACATTCACAAAGATCTTGATTTAAATCCAGATGAAATATTGAAATTATATATACAAATGCATAATCGTCGTCTCGATTTTGGTCTTTCGCTTTAATCAGTAAATGCTATAAACAGAGGTACAAAAACTTAAACTAAAAAACACTTGGCTCAACTTTGAAGTCTAATTGTTAGATATATTTGATGAAAATAATCACATTTCATTTTTTTGTGTTAATAAAAGAACATTATTTCATTTTTTTGTTTTGATATTAATAAAAGAACTTCATTTTCTTTTATTGTGTTTTTGTTATTTTATGAACCTTTGCCAAGCTGAAAAATTTTTGGCCTATCAATAAAAACCTTGCCCATTTTGCCCAATGGTTTATTTCGACACAAGCGAAGTTTGCCCATTTGTCTAAAAATCCTGGCTACGCCACTGCTGCTACTCAGTGTAAAATGGAAGTTATGACATCATTTGGATCTTTAATAAACTAGTGACGGCATTGGAAAATTGATGGTATGACAAACATCATGAGAATGTACACAGATTCTGTTCTATGAAAACTCTACACGATTCTTATACTGGTAACTCATGTAAATGTGGGTTAAC